TCGCAGTGTCCTGCGATAATGTCCGGACATAGCTTCCAACTTAAAGGGCAACTCACGTGCCCCACGCGTCTCCTCGCTTCAGGCTCTCAACTAGATCGCTACTAAGACGCGCTAGCTGCTCACGAGACAGACGACGCCCCGTTCACACCCAGCCGGGGCAGATAAACATGTCCGTCTCTGCAGTTAACCACAAACCCCAACGAAGGCGTATCACTGGCGGAAGAACCAGCCTAGACCAGTCGTTTTTCAGAGGGTTCCGAATTCTCCACAGTCACTTCTATCATCCAGTCTTGGTCGATCTTCTAACAGTACCTGTGATGCTCACTGAAGTCGTGGTCGATCATCATCTATTCGAAGCCATACTTCTGTTCGAGAACGGTCACGATCAGAAAGCCGAAGTCGTTCGGCTGACGCACCGTCATCACATAGATCAAGGAAATGGAGGCAAATGTCATATGATGACATGGGATCAATTGTGGTAGATACCCTTCTCGCCCTACGACTGGAACTTGCCGCCCACCCTTTGATTATTTTCTTGAGTATTTCGACGACGAATCGATGAAAAAGATCTCGATTAATTAGTATTTTGCGTTAATTAATAATTAATAATAAGCTCATATTTTGTTATATTTCATGTGAAACATGTGATAAACTTCAAGTTTCATTAATATAGTTGATTTCGTTGCTTTATAGGTCGCCTTTTATTAATTTTTTTATTAACTCATAAAAAAACGCTAACGCTTTGGTAAGGTTCATGACGGGATGCCATGATCGTGCGGGGGAGTTTTTTCGTTTTGGGAAAGGAGTTTTTTTTGTATTTTTTTCTTTTTAGTAACGGCATGAATGCTTAAAAAAATGCAATATCAAATCCCATCACAAAAAATCATTTTCTCGTGCTGAAAGGGCTAAACTCCATACACTTTTAAAATGTGTATTTGTTTTAACTGACTAGGACACACGGAATAAGAAACTAGCGAGAGTGTGAAGTGGCTGTTCCCTTGTCTACTGTGTGCTATGTGTAGGTAACTGTCTTCGACTTGTCTGAGAGCCCTGTTGGTGACCATGCAGAGGTTTATCATTATACATTAAACAACTCAAAGATGGCGACGGCAGGCTAACATAAAAACACAATCGAGCTGAGCCTTTCCAAAGGAACTACTTTTGCAATCGTGAAAATAGAGAGGGCAACAAATTTAAGGTTGGGTCCGGGCGGCAGAAGTCAACACCACTGTAGTTGTTGCTTATGCCGTTAATGATTAACTTGAACGTCAAGTAACACCAGATCGATCGAAACGAGGAATCGTCTGTGTATGGGGGCCTTTAGATTTGTTTGTAGTTATAAATTCACACCAACAAATTGTGATACATGACTTACCTTCCAAAATCAATTCTAGGATCATTGGCAATGTCGTGAGCGTTCCAGTAGGTATACTTCTGCCTGGAGTGACCTTTGCCTTGCACTATGAAGAGTAAATACTTCAGCTGAGCTCTGGGGATATCTGCTGGCTTGGTTGACCCGGGACCTGAAATGCAGGATTTATTTTTTGCTTTAGTATAACACACTCAATTACATTTAAAAAAATAATAGACTGTCCGGGAAAGCCAAAGGACGGCAGCTACCTTGTCCAACGCATTAGCATAACCATACAAAGGGCGAAAAGCGTTCACTAAAAAATTGCTAATGCTAATTAAATATTATGTCATTCTAACGACGAAAGTAGCAGATGCAATGAAATTAAACCAAGTTTGATTCGCGTTTGCTCGATAACCTTCTTTGTACGAAAGTAAACGTAAGTTTTTAAGTGCGTTATTTGTGTGTCATGGACAAGAGTACATACTTCACTTCGTATATATATGTGTTCGTGACCCCAAGTATTCGCGGTCAAGTCTTTCGTTATCCGACAAACGGGGGGATTCGGCATTATTTTTTTGATTACCTCGTTGAAGGCCACAAGGAACGCGCTGTCGGAGACATTATTTTTGAGTTAAGCAGACGGTGAAAGACTTCTGTTAATGTAAGGCTGTTTTCCGATTTGTCGGTGCTGTAGCGGAATATACTGTAACGCCTTCATCTACGCACGTGTCCGTATATAAATCGGGAGACAATGCCACCTTTGAGTGATGAAGACCTTTTGGCGTGTTATTTATATCTCTGAATACTCTGCAAGTCTAATAATATGATTATTATACAATACTGGATTGTATAATAGCACAATACTGTACTAATTACTAACAAATACTTACTTACTTACTTTATTGTATACTGATCACACGCAATAATCAACTTAAAATTTTTTGCTTTCGTTTTTGTTTTGTAATTTATTATTTGTTTTAAGGTTGTAATTTATTATTTGAATGCTCCGTAAGTACATACTTCATACACATTATGCTTCGTGTACACAGCACACTAACTTGCACAGACAAGAATCTTTTTCTTTTCACATTTGTAATGTTCCGCGTAACCTTTTGGGAGGCAGCTGAAAATCAGCGCGTCATTTTTAACTGCCTCTGTGGCCGATCGGTTACCATGCCGGACTGCCACGCAGAGGTCCCAGGTTCGATTCCCGGGCCGGGAGAAATATTTGTATGGCCTACATTTATTTCTCTCGTGAGTTTGGGTGTAATTTGTGGTTGTCTATGTGTGTCCATGGCACCCACGACACAGGGTTTCCCTAGTGCGGGGCTATGTTGAGTGTGTGCGTTATTATTATTATTATTATTATTATTATTATTATTTTAGCGACGGTTTTGACATGATATATTTTTCTATTATAAGTTTGTTCTGTTTTTGTTCCTTTTAAGTATTTATTTACGTCATTGTTTTTTCTGTCTTCGTATTTCATGTAATGTGTGTGCTTTGTCGGCAAATAAACTATCTATCTATCTATCTATCTATCTACTGGATAATAAGTTATAATATACAGGTAAAAAATAAACGCTTAAATACTAGAAACTAAAACTAGGTTTAAATTAATGAATAAAATTGGGTAACAGTGGGCAAGGTGCCCAAGATGCTGGCAGCGTTCTCCCTTTGTATAGCTTTGCTAATGCGTTGGGCAAGATATCTGCCGGCATTTGGGTTTCCCAGATAACCTATAAATTTTTTGAAAAAAATTTTGTAGACAAAGGGCACTGGGACTCGACGGGCCCAAGGGTTTCGACTCCAAAGGCTGTAAATAGGTAGTCGGAGCCGAGATCATGGTACTTATTACTCTTTATTCCTTCCGCCAGCTTAGCTGCGGAGCCGTCTTGCTGGCGTGTTGGATATGGGATGGTACAAGAGTGTCGGCACATGTGGCGTCCCACATCAGTGCCCAGCCCACACTCCAAGAGATGAGAGTTATTCCGTCCAGGCGTTACTTTCAACTGAAGTTATTAAATTCATATTTATCCCAAAATTTGCAAATCGACGTCGGATTTGTGTTAAATTTTCTCCACCTGTTCTTATAACATTAATGTATAACGCACGGATTATGGGACGCGAGAGGCGACCCCCCAAGCCTCATGTCCTAAAATCTAGACTCGCGTTGAAAAAATCTCCTCGCCTTAATAGACCGAAGGAGGAACGAAAGGATGGAACTATATTATTTTCATATTTTGAAATGGTAACCGATAAAAAACCGTAAGGTGATCGAGATTTAGAAGTTTCGATTACAAAAGTGGGTTGTCGCAAATTAGTCGCTTTGCTTTTCAATCCGTCGAGTCCAAGGCTAAAATTATAACGGACGGAACCGTCCCAAAGGTGACGGCATGTACTCCGTACACGACCGAACTTGTATCTCAAACACAAACTAACACATGTTAGGTTGTTGAGGTAATTTTGACACAACGAGGTAAGCTCCTTATGAAATCGATTTCTCTGTCAAATATTCAACATACCTGTTTGAGTCACCTCATAAGCAACATCAATGTGATTAAGTAATTAGTGACAAATAAAGTTTTTTTTTCACTCTAATCAGTTGAATCAACACTGTTCAATCAAAACCCTTCTGTCAATACAGAAGGGTTTTGATTGAACAGTGTTGATTCAACTGATTGGTTTGCAGTTAATAACCTGCCTCCTTAATTGGAAAAAAGATATCAATTAATTCGTAAGACAGGTTTCTCTGAGAAAAATAAGTAAGTAACTAAAAAGTTTTGAGTCAATACTCAAAACTTTTTTAACCCACTAACGTCATGTTGCTTAATTAAGTACTACACGATAATCATGTCAACCCTTACACTTAGAGAAGACCTGTGTCCTGCAGTAGAACGCATAATGGTTTGAAGATGATGTACGCAATCAAATCTACAAGGCGACATACATTTCGATTTCTCAGATTCCAAAATTTGCCATTTACAAGGTTTAAAACTTTATGAAATACAAAAATCCACGGGTGTGACCCGTTTAGCCCTTTCAGGTTGTCTCGATCTTATGATATTTGAAATAAGTCTTGTAAATGATAAACATATGTGCAAATATTTATTAACAAAAAGCGACCTCTAGAGTTACTTACTTATTTTTCTCAGAGAAACCTGTCTTACGAATTAGTTGATATATTTTTTCCAATTAAGGAGGCAAGTTATTAACTGCAAACCAATCAACAATGCTATTTCTAGCATTGTTCACATCGTCATAGAAACATTGATGTTCTTTAGCTCTAAATAATGATGAACCATCAGCGAACAATACTATCTTATGTTCCATACCCTACATAAGTCATTAAAATAAAACTTAAAATAAAAATGGACCTAGTATTGAACCTTGAGGGATGCCTATACTAATTGCAGACCCTGATAATCTCGAACCGTTGCCATCGATGCTAGGTTTTTCTACCACTCAATTACGATTTAAGGAGATCGAATTCATGTGTAATTTGCTTACCTATGAAATAAAAATCTACATTTGAATTTAACACAACAACAAACATATGGCTAAAATTGCAGCCGGAATATCCACGACAAGCTCATTGAATAAATGTGTATTTGTTGACGAAAGTGAATGTACCGTTTGCCAACTTGAATGATAGAGTATGATGCGTTCAATTGGAAAATAAACAGTTGTCAAACTTGTCGTGTTGCCATTTCCGTTATAGATTTCTAGGACAGACCAACAAACGAAGAAATATAGTCCTCCTTATCGACTTCAATAATAACGACCCCTTGAAATTAGTTCCTGGCGTGAGGTTATATGACCCACTAAATCGAATTTCGTTTGAAATACCCAGTTACAAACAGAATAATAAAATTTGGAATGCAGAATAAAAAGTATAAGATACGAGCGTTGTGCTTTTTGTTTTTTGCTACATTTTTATCACAGTAAGTAAACAACTACTTACGTTAAAATAGAATCATCGACATAATAGCTTTTCTTGTTATACAATCAACCAACTTTGTTGTTAGAAGAAATCGTGGTTTTTGACATCGATACTAGGGCATGTTTATCAACATATGGACATTGATTTGAAACCAAATACAATTGGATTTGGAACCAATAACACCCATGTCAGAGTTTGTCGACTCAGTCTTGTTCTCACTCAAACCTTGCGAATCATTACAAGACTGACTGGTTTCGGTCTTGTTATAATTGGTGATCCTGGTCTTGCAAAAATTCACTTCACTTTTTTCAAGGCCTGTTGCCAAGTACACTACACGTGTAACCTGGTCCAACTTTACGCAGAAAGCCATTAGCGCCTATCGTGTCCAATATAGTAACGGCTTCTGGATGTTGATGAGGCTGCCGACGGTCTCGCTGCCCTGCAGATTGCGGGCCAGCGCCAACTCCATCTTGATGACCGTAGCAGGGAGATATGATTCCCCCATTATGCGCCATTTCTTTCAGGTGCTTGTTAGCAAAAAGTGTTGTGAGAAAAATAATTTGTTAACAAATACCATTCAATATTATTATTTTTTTCTTTTTACTCACTCAGCTACTAAGAAAACTGTGACTAACCAATTTATGGACCCTGTTGTCTGAAGTAAATATAAAATAAATAAATAAATAAAATACAAGAACAACACCAAGTCCAGGGCCGATTTAGGGTTATGGGTGTGTACGTTATTCTTATTATTAAAAAAACACTATGTCTGACTCTTATCATCTATACCATGGCTATACTGAGCCTTAACTTGCAAATTTATGAATGTATTTACAATTCTGCTATAGTTCGTGGGGTGGAGCTGTGGTGATCCATAATATGTAATTTTAGCTAGATTTCTCCCTAGTGTATTATTTACGTGCGAATACGTGTCTAAAGTATTAACCAGTCTAGTGGTAAAAATGTCAGCTATAAACGAAATGACAGCGATTAATATTATCATATTTGATTTTGCTTCGGGAATCGAACCCGGGATCTCTGTGTGGCAGTACGGTTTGGTAGCTGTCCGGCCACGTGTATTGTATAACAATTGGTGTAATTATCTGGCACATTACTTATTTATTTACGTCACTTGTAACGTGTGAAATGTTTCCATGTATCGTTATGTTTCTGTATTTTCTCAAGGAACTACGTGCTCCAATTTAGATGAAGATAACTATTCCAAC